TCCATCCATCCATCCATCCATCCACACATCCATTTTCTTCCGCTTATTCGGGGTCGGGTTGCGGGGGGTAGCAGCTTAAGTAGGGAGGCCCAGACTTCCCTCTCCCCAGCCACTTGGGCCAGCTCCTCTGGGGGAATCCCAAGGTGTTCCCAGGACAGCCAAGAAACATAGTCCCTCCAGCGTGTCCTGGGTCTTCCTCTGAGTCTCCTCTCGTGGGACGTGCCCAGAACACCTCACCAGGGCGGCGTCCAGGAGGATCCTAACCAGATGCCTGAGTCACCTCAACTGGCTCCTCTCGATGTGGAGAAGCAGCGGCTCTACTCTGAGTCCCTCCCGAATGACCGAGCTTCTCACCCTATCTCTAAGGAAGAGCCCAGACCCCCTGCGGAGAAAACTCATTTCAGCCGCTTGTATCCTTGATCTCATGCTTTTGGTCACAACCATCATGACAACAGATGAAGGTAGGAACGTAGATCAACTGGTAAATTGAGAGCTTTGCCTTTTGACTCAGCTCTCTCTTCACCACGACAAACTGGTACAGTGCCCGTTTCACTGCCGATGCTGCACCTATCAGCTTATCAATCTCCCGCTCCATTTTTCCCTCATTCGTGAACAAGACCCCAAGATACTTAAACTCCTCCACTTGGGGCAGGACCTCCTCCCTGACCCAGAGAGGGCATTCTACCCTCTTTGGCTCAAGACCATGGCTTCGGATTTGGAGGAACTGATCCTCATCCCGGCCGCGTCACACGGCTGCAAACCGCTCCAGCGAAAGCTGTAGATCATGACCTGATGAAGTCAATAGGACCACATCATCTGCAAAAAACAGAGAAGCGATCCTAAGGCCACCAAAACGGATCCCCTCAACACTTTGGCTGCACCTAGAAATTCTGGCCATAAAAGTTATGAACAGAATTGGTGACAAAGGGCAACCTTGGCGGAGTCCAACTCTCACTGGAAACGAGCCCAACTTACTGCCGGCAATGCGGACCACGCTCTGACACTGGTCGTACAGGGACCTAACAGCCCGTATCAAAGGGCCTGGTACCCCATATTCCCAGAGTATCTCTCGCAGTGTTCCCCGAGGGATGCGGTCAAACGTCTCTCCAAGTCCACAAAGCACATGTAGACTGGTTGGACAAACTCCAACACACACTCCAGGACCCTGTTTAGGGTGTAGAGCTGGTCCAGTGTTCCATGACCAGGAAGAAAACCGCACTGCTCCTCCTGAATCCGAGGTTTGACTATCCGATGGACCCTCCTCTCCAGAACTCCTGAATAGACCTTACAAGGGAGGCTTAACAGCGTGATCCCCCTGTAGTTGGAACACACTCTACAGTCCCCCTTTTTGAATAGGGGGACCGCACCCCGATCTGCCAATCCAGGGGAACTGCCCCCGATGTCCACGCAATATTGCAGAGTTGTGTAAGCCAACACAACCCCACAACATCCAGAGCCTTAAGGAACTCCGGGCGGATCTCATCCACCCCTGGGGCCCTGCCACCGAGGAGCTTTTTAACCACCTCGGTGACCTCAGCACCAGAGATTGGAGAGCCCAACCCAAAGTCCCCAGGCTCCGTTGCCTCAGTGGAAGATGTGCCAGTGGAATTGAGGAGGTCTTCAAAGTATTCTGCCCACGACATCCTGAGTTGAGGTCAGCAGCACACCACCTCCACTATTAACAGTGTTGGTGGTGGCCTGGTTTGTAAGCAGGAATTCCTTTTACAAAACTTTTAGGGAACTCCCTCCTATGTGCATCACAGTGCCAGTTTTGGTTCTGATCTTTACTACTTTCTTTCTGTAGTTCAGTCATCAGGCGGTGTGCCTCTAGAGCTTCACCTTTGGCAGGCCAACTTAGCAATTAATTGGCTTGTTAAATTATGCCGCAATGCTCCATCTCAGCAAAACTATCAAAGACTAATCCTCCCTTTGTACTGCACTTTTCTTCGCAGGCGGGAAAAAACAGACCTGCAGGGCTTAGAGGTGTCTTTAATAGTTATTTTGTTCTAAAGTTTTGTCTCAGCTCAGGAAAGCTGGAAGACAAAAGCTTTTAAAACAAAAACGCATAGACATCAATAACTATTACATGAACTAAAGGTAATTTGTGATATGACAGAAAAATTCAGTAATCATGATTTTGTAAAAGAGCAATCAACTAGACAGTAAAGAGAAATGGCAAGTTTAAGCAGTTATATATATATACCTAATTGAGGTTAATGTAAATACAAAAGTTGTTTTGAAATTAAAAATTTAATGTCACATTGACATAGCCAACAAAATTACCTAATATTTAGACAAATAAAGATACACTTTAAATGTATGCTTTATTACTGGTACTTTAAAGTGGGATAGAATTATTATTATTTTTTATTAAAATGAAGACTCAAAAACCTGCATAGTTCAGGGTTACATTTTATTTGGTAAAATTGGCGTGAAAATTTTGTCCCCCCTTGTTTACATGAATGAAGTCTTTTCTTAAGCCCTAAAATTTAAAAAATATTACTAAATGTTAAAATTCATTATATAATGTTTGTTTTATAAAGTCACCCCCTGGATAAAAAAAACACCCTTCATACAAATTTGAAGTGGCCCATGAGCCACCAGTTGATAATCACTGTTGAAGCAGGTTTTGTGGCTCTAAGTGAAGGGTAGACATGGCTCTTTTGATCTAAAAGGTTGCAGACCCCTGAACTAGACAAATGTCTTCCTTTCAAGACACACGTGCACACAAAACTTAAACATTTCACTTAAGCAAGTCTCGCTGCAATCTCCCACTTTCACAACACTTTGGTCTTTCATTTTATCTGTCATCAGCCAAGGACGCAAAACAAGGTGACTAGCACATCATCAAACCATCTGGTGTCCAATAAAAAGAAATAACACTTCCTCTCATACTCCCTCACTCACACATGGGCAGGCAGGCAGTACGCACATTCTCTGAGCTCACTTTATGTTGATACAGTTCAGACACTTGTGGGTGATCCCAATCCAGCAGCAACAGGAAGTGAAGACGTTCAATGTGACTCCCTTAGTTTGTGCAAACTATCACTCCAGACTATTGGTTGTACCTCCTTGCCTGACTGCTGCCGGTGAATAGCAATACAAGTTTCTGAACGCCGTAAAAGCAGACTTCTCGTTTGCTTCATTTCTGGTCTTTTTGCGTCCTGCATCACAGAGGCACAAACTTCATCAGTGTGCATTTCTACCTCCGCTCTCCTTTAATACAACTACTCTGAAAGGTCCCGGAGAGGGCATTGATTCTTGTTCGGGGAGGGAAAAATTGTCCCACCCTTTGCGGATTGGATTGATAACGCTGAGCTAAATATAGGCCTGCGGCAAGGAGCAGGAACGGCGGTTATTTTTAGAAATGTTTATAGTGCTGCAACTTGGACACTACTTCAGCTGAATGGCCAAACGGAAAGAAGGAAGATAGGATTGGGCGAGCCATTACAGCAACTCTCTCCTGGAAATATGACTTCACTCACTGTGATTACTACGAAGTGAAGTAGATGAGTGCAGTGCCTGGAGTTTAAAAATATGCCTGTCAAAGTTACACGACTTTCTTTTGATGTAAACTTAGACTGAGTGCTTCTTTTGGATCCGTTGGCTAATTTGAGTAATGTATCGGCCTTCTGTTTATGAAAGTGTGTAAACCATGGACCACACTGTCTACTATTGATATTGTGTCTCTCTCTCTTACATCCCAATGCCAGTGAAGTGCCCACTTCATTTTGGACATGGCTGGTAATTCATTATATGATGCTCTCAGATTTTACACAATCACGATATTTTTTTTTTTTTTACAGAACACATTTTTTCTTGCTTAAGATTTCCATTTTGAGGTTTAGAAGTATGCTTTATTTGTTCAGTCACTCGTCAGCATGCACATATAATCTATAAAATGCTTCTGTTAAAAACGCTGACTCATTCTGCATCGATTTCCTGTAGTGCTACGAGGCCTCTCATTGAACCGGAATGAAGTCTGATGTAAATACTAAACTTTTTCCTGAAATAAAACCTATATAAAAACAAATGTGAACAAAAAGGTGAAAATCCACATTGATCCCTGGTATTTTACTCTCATTCTACCAACTCTTCCCTTCAGGCAAAGATCATTTACAGAGTTAATTGATTTGTCCTGCTGTGCTCGTCATTTCTACTGGCAGCCACATGCTGAGCTATAGGACAAGTTCACATTGTCACATCCAGAGCACAATAAAGTTTTATATCAATCACAATCCAGTTGAAACTAGCTGCTATTCTTCTTTGTCTATTGACTGGTCTAAAAAAAAGTAAGCAATTTTCTGACCATACTTTAGTTTTCCTTATAATTCTTTAATAACAAAAGTGGATTAATAATTAATCCAGCGATAGAGTGATAAATCTTTTGTAATTACCATCTTTGATTGCTAAATGCAAAGCGGTAGTCATGTTCTAGTCATTTTTAGACGAAGAAGATAAAATCCATCCAGAAAACTAAAAAGTCATACCGTAATACTTAACAAGAGAACAAAAAAAAAAAAACACTGTTAAAAAAAATGTATAAAAGGTGTTGAAACCTATTTAACATAAAAACACAATGCACCATTTAATAGTTTACAATGCATTTGTAAACAAATAAAAAAGTAATATGTTAGGCTGCTTTTGTGATGTCTATTGTGTATTGATCTTTGCGAAAATGTTAATTTGTTTTTCCTGTTGTTTAAACTGATCTCAGTTTGCGTTTTCTCTAATGTTGCTGTTTTTGTTTTTTTTCCATTGTGTTTCTGTTTTGAACATCGGTTATACAGTAGAAGTACTATTGTCAAAATTTCCATTTTATTTTTTTACCATTTCCTCTGCAATCACTGTTGACAAGCAGGTGGCATCAAAGCTGATTTTGCATAAAGATTATTAGGTAAGTGAATCTGTGACTATAATGTTTGAAATACGTTCATCTTAATACATGCTACTGTGCTACAGGTGTCTTATGACTGATGAGGTAAAAAGGCCAAACGTACCTGAAGATAGTGACATGGCCTCAGATTGGATTTGATGTCAATGGGTGTCATGGACTTCTCCAGGTTCAGTGATGACTTCCTGTAGGCCTCCTTGGCTTGGCTGACTGTTAGCGTTGACCAGGAACTCCTTTTCATGAACTTTCCCTCCGGTGCCATGCTAATGTTCTCACAGGCTGAACACTTTACATCGTTGTTACTCTTGGAGGTCTTTAGTGAGAGATTCCCAGCCAGGTGGCTGTGAACCGAGTCAGGATAACAGTGACTGACGTGGTCCACAGGATGCCGCGACATGATGCTCGGTGTTCTGTACGTGCTGTCACTATCGAGATTGTCATCTGAACTCCACCATCCTCCAGAACGTTGCTTTCCACTGCTGTCAGATTTGCGGTCTTTGCTCTTGCTTCGTTTGCTGTGTTTGTGGTGGGCTTGGTGGTGGTGATGGTGGTGGTGTGAGCTTTCCCTATGCGAGTCGCCTTTAGTTCCATTCATCTTGGAAGACCCTTCCAGGGAGTGTGACTTTGTAAAAAGTTTTTGTACAGAGTGAACTAAGTGACGAATTCGCCCAGGGCTTTCGTTGCGCTGTTCAGTAGTGGTAGTTGTGGTCGAGGTGCGCTGGTACTGCAATGTGTGGAAGCCATCTCGATGCAGCGGCATCTGCTTTTCAAACTGATCTAAAAGATTTGCTGGAATTCTATTCATTTTGCCACTGCCACCATGTGAGGATGAGCCACCGTCATCTCGGGAATCTCTACCACCAGAAGTGTTTCCACCGCTGTCTCTTGAAGAGCTGCCATAATGCATGCGGGGGAAAGTGCTACTAGATATGGAGTGGTCGGTGGCTGATAGAGACACGGGCATCATCATGCACTCGGAGTGGATGGAGCTCCGTGGGGAACAGCGATGGTGACTCTCAAGGGCGCAGCTCTCAGTGGGACTGAGGAGGTAGGAGGGTGACCGTGGGTCACCATGGCGGAGATGGTGATCCAGGGAATGGTCACATTCAGCCAGGCCACAGGCATGAGGTGAGGTGGGCGATGTGAGCTGGAGATGGACAGGGCGACCACCAGAGAGACCCTTCATGTTCCTGGGCGGTGGAGAGTAACTGTCCTCATCGAAGTACCGCGAGGGTGTCCATGAATACTGCTGATCTGTGAAAGAAACACACACATAAAGAAAACGGTTTGTAAGCTCAATAATTCAGGTAGATAACAACAAAAAATTGTTAAATCATGGCATCTGGACCAGTTTCTTTAAGTGAGAAACATTTCCTCCCCTATCTGGAAAACTGTCAGTCTGAGGCTTGCCAACCAGATCTGTCTCATAGGTAGTCTTCATTGCTGTGTTTTAATTCAACCTCCTGTGGAATCTCAGAAGTAGGCTTTTAACACTTGCAGAACACACCCATCCAAAACAGTCAGTCATCAAGTACAACAATCAAATGTCCTAGGCCAGGTGGCCAACTTGCACACATGAAGACGAATACAAAAAAGCACTTATCCAGAAATGAAAACTACCACACCTAATGATGACCAAAAATAAATCTCTTGAACCACCTCACATACTTTTATGGGAATTTTTCTCTACTCTCACTCACTTCAGCCAAACAATACCAACATAAAAACCCTGAACTGTTGACATGAAATCCACAGACTGCAGGATCGAAATAACAACAGTCCTATATATGCTTACTCAGATAATATTATTATTAATAATAATAATAATGGAGTGGCATAATTCTACATGGTATGTGTGTGTTTGGGGGGTAGAGAATGTATACAAGGGAAGGACAGGTAAGCCTGCATTACCATTTATCCAATGCAAGGTGAAATAATAGCCTATCACTCTGAGGTGCTGGTGTCATCCGTCAAAGCCCTGAGCAGTGCGCTGTAAGGCAACTAGCCAGATAGGAGTCCTTGAGAGGTGCTCACCAAATGCACCCTCCCTCATGCTCTGGTTGTTATTTAGTTTTCAATTAAAGCACAAATCTGTGCAACAGTTTACCGAGAGCAAATATCCCAGCCTAAAATTCCAATACATTTAGTAAAATTAGAGGAACGGTTTATTGCTACGCCTCACCATTATGCCCACCCTCTCTGATTTCAGGGTCCTGAGTCAGGACAATGTGGGTCTAAGCAAAGCCCTGTATCATGAACAATCCTAAAAAATAAGTCATAGAAGGTCAGAAAATGACTCACTCGTTTTAGCCTCAATATGGTTTTACGTAGCAAGTGATTAAACTCATGTCAGTAAACTTTTATCAAGCTGCCAGCTACAGAAGTTAATGAATGTTTACTATGTTTTATAATCTTATAAAGAAACTTTTTTTAAAGTGTGTAAAATGATGTGTTATGGGTATGTCTTAATACACAAACTGCTCTCCATCAGTAGGATTTCTCCTTACTTGGGTCTCCAACAGAAGGTGAACATTTTGTTAATCGCACCCAAGTCTCATTTGAAACTTTTTTGCACCCTGTTTTTTTTTTTTAAGGAACCAGACAGAATACAACAAAGCTAAGCTCACTTGCCTTTTAAAGATGTACCTCATAAAAGCAGCCACTGAAGCTGTAACCTCATAAACTGAAGGAGAGTTTTTATGAGCCACAGCGGGAGGGGTGGACACAGCAGGAGAGCAGTTTTAGACAAAACAGCAGCATTTTTAATATCGACAACCCACTGAATTCCACAGATATATTCGTAAAGCTAATTATGACACCCTGACATGTTAATTATTATTTAATAGATCAGTTTGACCTTAATGGCCACCTCAACTGTGATTACTCTGGCACTTAAATGAGCAATTGTCAGAGTCAGTGAGTACAAAATCAGTGAAAAGTTCCTTACAGCTGATTCCTTCCATTTAACTAAATTATATTTGACTGGTTCACAGATTATATGAGTGTTGAGATTTTTTTAAGATTAAGGCCACACAGTAACTTCGTGTATCAAATGACTGCCAGAAAATCATAGAGAAATTTTGAACTTGACAATCTGATTCCCTTCACTACAGAAATGTAATGCTTGCTTTACTTTTTTCTTCAGACTGTAACAAAGCTATGTTTATGTGCTTTCCAACACCTTAATTCTGACAACTATTAATACGATTTTAACTAGAGAAATTGCATTTCTTGCGAAAATGCAGTGTGAATGCTTGTTGCTGGAGAACTTGCTGAAAAACTGCTGAAATTAGCTAAAAATTACGTGCTGAAAAGTATCGGAAATGAAAGACTAAACCTTAATTAGCAGAAGAAAGCAGAAATAACACATTGTTGCTGAATTAGGTATGAATAAGCAGAAATTAGTACAAAAATTTGGAAAATAGCTAACAAAAGCTGAAATTTGCAAAAAAATGGCTGAAAAGTAGTTAAAAAGGCAGAAAGAAGAACTAAGCAATAGAGCTAAAATTAGCTAAACAATGTGGACTTGGCTGAAAAAGCTAAAATTAGCATAAAACAGCTAAATCACTGCTGAAATAGCAGAAAAAGCTGAAACTAGCAGAAAAAAATCTGAAAGAAGCATAACAAGCTGAAATGAGAGGTTAATTGGGTTGAAAGTAGCAAAAATTACCATGAAAAACATGAATTTATCTGAAAACAGATAAAAATAGCTGACAAGGTAGAACAAACTTAAATTAGCAGAAAAAAGCAGAAAGAACACTTTTGCCCAATTAGGCTGAAAGAAACAAAAATGAGCACAAACAAGTGGAAATTATCCAAAAATAGCTGAAATTAGCAATAACAAAAAAAAAAAAAAAACAGTTGAAAGTAGCTAAAATTTTCAGAAAGAAGCCTAAATTACCAGTAGGAAGTGAAGAGATCACATTTTTGTTGAATTAGGCTGAAAAAAGTTAAAATTTGTGCAAAAAATGTGGGATTAGCTGAAAAATCTAAAATTAGTATAAACAGCTAAATAGTAACTGAAATAGAGGAAAAAGCTGAAACGTGCAGAAATAAGATGAAAGGACCAGAAAGAAGTTAGAAGAAGCATAAAAAAGTTGTAGTTAGCAGAAACAATCTGAAAGGAGCACAAAACAGCTGAAAAAAAAAACTGCTGAAATTAGCTGGAAAAAAGTTTACATTTGTACAAGGAAGCTGAACCAGAACAAAATGTGAAAGGAGCAGTAACATGTTGTAAACAGCTCTAAAGATATGAAGGATGTAAAATGAGCAATTCATTTTCTATGGGGAAAACATTGCAGAAAAGGCTAAATATTTTAAAAGGCTAAAGTGATACCAGTAACAAAAATCATAGCATCCTTCTTCTGAAGGAGTTGATTGTTTTGATATATAACTTGTTGAAATAGCTACAAAACTGCAGGATGAGAATCGCTCCGAAAAATGTACGGAAGAAAAATGGATCACAATAGTGAGAACATAATTTCTGTGTCCAGAACAATACATTTTCACTGTCTTTACCTGAAGGTGTCAGCAGGCACTTTTAACCCATTAAGTGGGACTGCTGCATAGTGCGGCGCTGAAAAGCAGCGCATTTTAGACCTTTTTTTTAGTCTAGACTTTTCTCAGCAGGTGCCACTTGCTGCATCTGAATGACTGGCACAGGCTGAGGTCACCATGACCTGAACAGTCATGTGCTATATTCTGTTGTTTAGAAAATGACAAAAAGGCAGCAAACATTACAGTAAATACTTCACTGTGATATAAAAGTTACAGACATGAATGCGTGTAGTTGCGGACGCAAGATCCCCCTCTCAGTTATTTTGCCAACATCTCAGATAAGAGCATCTTATCATCAAAATCATCGAAAAAGGGAAATTGGGAGTGAAACGTGATGAGGCTTAAGAGGTTCATTTTCATCTTTGAAACTGGATAAAATGCAGTGAGTTACTTTTTAATGTAGTCTAAGATCTCAACCCCTGCGGTGAAGCCGCGCTCTTCTGCCTCTGTCGTCCTCCATCTGTTGAGATGAAAACAAATTCTTGTGTTTACCCGTCTTCTATGAGGATGCCTACTTGGCAGATTGATGTAAAATTAATTCAGAGCACTCTAAGCATGCGGAAGGTGGGGAGGATGAGACATGGATGAGTTTTCCAAAGGTGCGGCCAACTAAACTTAAAACATGTATCAAAAACCTTACTGATAAATGTTTTCAAACAGCTAAACTATTTGAACGGGCACAAGGACGATGGTGCATTATTGATTTATATGATGCTACGTTCCTGTCTGATGTTAAGTCACTTTCTTACTCCAAGGCATTTCTTTGATGGCTGGGTGTCCTCTGAGATACTCAGGAAGCAGCACTGAATAAATTATCTACCTACAGAGTTGTGGCACTTCCCAGGGTTATATATGACAGATGACAGACTCATCCAATTTATTCCTCCTTTCCCCCCTCATCTCTTCCACAACTGCTGCAGATTTTAACACTATTAAGGGGAAAAAAGTATGTCTTGTAAAACATTTTAGACATTGTTTAATATTTGCATGAGACACACTGAAGGGAAACGGCTTTCTCTCAGAGTGTGCATCCCCCTGATGAGTACTGAACAAAGAGACAAGTATGAATGACATGGACATGTTGTTTTTGTCCAGATGTTAGCACCTGTCATCATGTTGGTGTCTTCCTGGTGATGGTGCCCAATGCTTAGATGGATTTCAAGGACAAATGGTGTGTTTAGTGACATACTAGCAGTTTGGTGTGAGCACAAGACACAGGAACACAGCAGAATCACTTGCTTCTCGGAAGTTAATGGGGGATGAACAAACTAAAAATAAATGTTTGGTGTTGCCTTTGGGTTAAAGGCTAATATACCACCAGAGACACTGACTTCACTGAAAACAAAAGCATTTCCTTAAGAAAAAAGTCATTTTCAACTTTTCAGTGCACGCGTTCTGCAGC